ATAACATAAGTAGAATACCTTGGCTAGCATAATAATTGTATATCTTTTGAGTCATTAATCATAATATTATGACTGATCATAATATGGCTGATCGATATCAAGGCACGTCGGGCTAGCCGTGCATCATTTTGTCTCATTAGATTCAGCCAATCTGGAGACTGGGACGAGCTCGACTAAGTCACCCCTCCCCTTTATTGTCTAAAATGCATAATCTTTGACTCTCCCTACCCCGACAGGAGTAGGTTTTCGATGGAAAATGGCGGGTTTGGCAGAAAGAGCTTGAATTGAGGTTTACTTTGATATGAAACTCATTTTATAATGGATGTTGATTATTCAACGACAGCAGTTGTTTGGTATGTAATTTTGAAATATTTTTTAAGCAGTTAAAACTTTTTTAAAGATTTTTTTTTCTCTTTAAAGAGATCTAAATTCGAGAAAGTGAAACGACAGTTTTTTGGCACTTTCTTTCAGCTTTAATTTGATATATTTTTGTGTATACTAGCTCACAGGGTTCAGAAAATGTCACCAAAGAACGTGAGGAAACTCCACTAACAACCAAGAGGAAGGGGCGCTTCAACATTGGTTTGTATGCAAAACGAAGAAAACTGATCATGAATGAGCTAATGGAGGAGAAGCTAGCGGCAGATACGAAATTGAAAAGCATGCAGAATAAAGTTGATTATCGTAAACGCAAGGTACGACTTTCTTTGGATATATATAATATATGTGATTTAATTCATGTTTGAATTTTACTGTATAAGTTCTAGTTCAACTAGGATGCTATGCAGGTTATAAAGCAAACACAATTGCCATATATTAAAGCTTACACTGATATCAAGGAATTGAGTGATAATGAGTGTTATTAATATGCATATTTTTTAGTTTAGATGTATTACAACCAAAAAGAATGTCTAGTATATAAAAATTGTATTGCAGTAGATTTATCCCTTGTAAACAGTTTGGTTGTAATCTAAGTTTTGATATTTACAGGCTGATGATCTAGAAACACTTGTTCCTACACCAAAGCAACGGCCAAGGATGCCGAACACAGAGAGTGTCATCTGCAAAGAAAATAGTGATCATGTCAATTTATCTAAAGCCCAAAGTCAAAGAAGAAGAAAAGCAACCCTTAGAGCTTTAAAGCCTGTCCACTGCACACCAAGATCAACTGACCAAACCCCAATTATGAATGGGATGTGGGCAACACTAATCAATGAAAACCCACCACAGTTCATAGAGTCCTTGGTGGCAAATTCAAAGGTCTGCAAAACCAAGGTCATTCCTAGCATCTTAAAGAATAATGTGACAACCTATGAAAAAAGTCAGGAGAACTTTGTACGAAGCACAGGTCTGCTTTACAAAGGAGGGTTGCTAACAAAAAACAAGTACAAGGAAACAAGAAAAGAGAAAGTTGACTTTATGCCAGGGGTTTCAATACCACGATATGTAACTTACGATAGATTGATGTCATTCATCAAAGGAATAAATATGGGGGATGTTTATGATCTTCAAGTAAGTAGAACAAACAGAGCAAATGCAAGAGAGCCATGATAGAAAATCAAACTTGATACTAACATATAGTACAGTTACAGTATATCATGACAAGTTGTCAATATCAATCAATCAAACATTCCACAAGGTTTTTTTGTTGATTCATTGTTTTTGTATTGTATTTTTGTATGATTAATTGTGTTCTTTTTGATTGCTACTAGCAATTTTGTACTGTAAATATTAAATTTTGTTTTTGTTTCATGTTTTCCCCTGCATTAGATCAACATGCATGAATATATGAAATCAAATATTTATTTCTAGAATCCATTCATTATATCTATGTCACAAAATTGCATTCATTAAACACCAGAAAACAAAACTGACAAGTGACAGTGAACATTTGGATTATTATTCTTCATTTAGCATTTGATAGTAATTTTTATTTTTTATTTTGATAGGATTTTGCTGCCAAGAAAGGGAAAAGTCCTGTGCATGGAGTCTACCGATCTTTGGAGTCCTTGCTTTTAAGGCTAGCAGACATGTACTTAATGCTAAATGATCACTCAAAATTCCTTCACTGGTTCAATGACCAAAAAGGGAAATTTCTAGTGGCAATAGGTGCTGATGCAGCCCCATTTGGCAAAGACGAAACAGCAACTGCCTATTTAGTGAGTATTCTAAACGTTCTAGAAGGAGTTCAAAGTTGTGATCACAACTACCTGTTGATGGGAGGGAATTGTGACGAAACTCATGAACTGATGTACGAGTACACCAAACATGTTGTTGAGGAAATCAAGGAAATAGAAGCAAAGGAATATGATGTGCATGGCATCAAGATATCATTTCAATGTAGACTTGTCCCCAGTGACCAAAAATGGATGGCCAGTATGTGTGGAGAATTAAACAACGCAGCAACATACTTTTCGACTTTCGCCAATGTCTCAAAAGCTGACATAAAAACCATCGATGGTAAAATTGGCGGAGATGATTGCACTTGGAAAACATGGGCATATGACAAAAGATTGAAGGATGCAGATTATGTCAAGTTATTCAAGACAAAGAACAAGATTCCAGATGGTTCTAAAGCCAGTAACCATCGGAAAAAAGTAACAGAGTACATTGCTTCAAGAAAATCCAGACAAGAGTTCCATCCTCCATTGGATAAATATGTTGACTTCCTTTACCCAGAGCCTCTTCACAACAGCAATAACGCGTGGTAGCATTGGAATTTGAATGCTTTAAACACTGCCATACATCTAACAGACAAAGCTGTTATTAACAAAGCTAACGGGAACATTACACTTTTGCCAAATCATACTGCCCTTGCACGATATGCAAGCTTGCTTAAAGACACCATTAAGGCTGGAAGGCTCTACAACAAATTGGATAGATGGTTCAGTGAAAAGAAACAGACTGTGGACTTTTCCTATAGATTTACTGGCAAGGAGTCGAAACTGTTTTGCTGGCATTTCATGAAGATCTGTTGTATGTTGATTGAAACTCAAGCTATTCCCAAGACCACCTTATTACATGTCTATAGCCTGGCCTATTCAGGTCTGTGTTTACGAAACTGTGTTTCCCTTTTTAGCAGGGTTCACATCAATGAGAGTGACATGAATGTTCTTAAGAATGAGTGTGAAATGTACTACAACTGCCAAGCACTACTATTGGCCAATGTCAAACCAACCACATGGACCATTGGTAAGGCAATTCCATTTTACACAGATAAGATATACCATGATTTGGGGTTTGGGCTTGGCTTAAACAGCATGCAAGGCCGAGAAGCAAAGCACATTAAGCTTTCGTGTTATGCCAAAAACACTACAAAGGGGAAACAGCTGCGGTGGTGGCAAGTGTTCAAGCACGAGTTCATGGAACTTGTTTGGCTGAAAGAAAATGATGCCAAGAAAGTGGCCAAGAAATTACATAGCACATCTCATTCTGAAAATGAAGAAAAGTCTTTCAAAGATAGGTACATCCCTCCCTACTGTATCAACAATGATACATTTTGTACTTGTGGCCAGCCTAAGTCAGTCACTGTGACTTCTTGTCCTATTTGCTGTTCAGATATATTCGAACTAGTAGTGAAATCATGCAAGGCGGGTAAAATTGATGGAAAGTTAAAAGTTAACATTTAATTAATGTGAAAAAAGAGAACAATCTAAATGAGCAATACAACTGTTTAGTTGAAAGTTTACTATAGCATCCAGTCACCTTCACTTCAAAACAGAAACTGTAACATGTATTGTTCTCAATTGCAATTGCTTGTTTACACTTTATACAAATAACAAATGTAATAACTGCAGATGTGTAATAATTCAAGACATTCAGACAAATAAAAAGTATTTGTTGCTTTTTGCAATCAATTGTAGATCATTAAAAGATAAGTAACTATATTGTATGTAGACTTGTAATGTGTTGCCGAGTATTTTACCTAAGGTACATTGTACCCAGAACTAAGATCAATTAAGTTAATTCATTTATTCTTTATTTCATTTTACTGTGATATCAATAAAGAATAAATGAAATAACTTGACTCTTGTGTGCTTAATGTCTCCTAGGTATCAACATATGAGTTGAGCATGGAGTGCTGCTTACAGTTTGCCCATGATCAAAATGCAAATAGTTTCTGAATATTAGTTTTTATTTAGTGACTATTAGATACTATCACTACCCGCAAAACAAAAGTTAACTATTTAAGTGTAGAGGAAGTAGAGACATTTTATTAATTTAATCTGTGAAATAAAAATTAAATAGTTCTTTCCAATTAGACATTATTTAAACAGTTGATAGAGTGCTTACATTATGTCCATGAAATATAAATCTTTTTAGTTATTTTTTAATATTATTTAGTTACTATTAGGCGCTATCACTTAACTTGAACAGTTTTTGAATGCTCAAGACAAAAGAAAGTTATTTGTTTCAGTTGATTGATAGTATCTAATAGTCACTAAATAAAAACTATTATTTAGAAACTATTTACATTTTGATCATGGACATAATGTAAGTACTCCATCCTCAACTTATATGTTGATATTTAGGAGACATTAAACACACAAGAGTCAAGTTATTTCATTTATTCTTTATTGATATCACAGTAAAATGAAATAAAGAATAAATGAATTAACTTGATTGATCTTGTGTATTTTGTACAAAATAAAGTCTAATTGTTAAGAACTATTTAGTTTTTTCTCAAAGATCAAATAGAATTGCTCTACAATGTAATTCAAAATTCAGTTTCATAACTTATCTTCATAGTAACCATATGTGCAGTGAAAGGTAAAATTTAAATTTCTTGCTTGAAAACTCTTAAGTTTTAATTTACATGGTGCAATGCTAAATAAATCACATGATTAGGTAATTATGTAAAGTATACCACTCTCTGTTAACTGGACGAGTTCAGTTTCAATGCTGAGCAACACCAAAAGAATTCCACACTCCATAATGAAAGGTTATTTTCAGTGTTTCACAGTTCATAGAGTATTTCAGAATCATAGGCTGTTCCTCTGAAACTAAAACTTTAGCACAGCTTCCATCATCAAACTTCTTCATTAGTAGCTCATCTTTGTTGAATTTCACTCCGTTATCATTCATGTGGTCGAAGAACCAAACAGCCTTCCTTTTTTCATGCACTGAAATGTTTACTTGAGCAGCAGTTAATCTCACAGTGTGCCCAAAACGGTTGTGCTTAATTATTGCATTCAAAATAACTTCCCGTGGAACCTCACGAGTAAAACTACCAAAATATGGCGATGCAGTTACTGGAGTGGCACGAAGTCTCTTATAAATTCCCTGATGCAGCTTTTCAATAATTCGCTCCGTCATGGGCCAAATGTCAACAATAGAATGGCAATGGTTTCGGCGAACTGAACCATCATACTTGTCGAAAACGGACTCCATTAAACTTCCCAACTCTCCAAAGACGTTATCCTTGAATGAATTGTCTTTCTTGTTGTTAGTCTCGATGGACAATTTCCAATTAAGCACGCTTGAACGAATTTTTTGTTTCAACACGGCCGCCATGTTTGATTGAGATGCTTTGTGTATCGTGCTTAACACAGGGATACCAAAAAAGTTACCCAGATGGCACAGCGCGCCTAAGATGAGACAAAATGATGCACTGCTAGCCCGACGTGAGGCGGTTTACAATGATTACAAATTAATATTATTCAGGTTGTTCAGTCTCAAATATATGGCGTATTTTGACACCCCTTTTTTACCATATGTAGGTATGAATGATGCTCTAGATTTCCCAAAAGGATCAATGATTATATACCAGTTTACTGATCTTGCCCCTTGGTTAAGATGGAGTCGGTTTTCAACTGGGATCACAACTTCTCGTATTAAAGTTGTTGATCCACATAATTTACATAGCTTAGCTGTTACGTGTGGTGCCTATTTGGGTCCAGATGATTACGGTTCACTTAACGCATGCTTTCGAGAGCTCTATGATGACTTACACAATCTTTCGGAAGTTACAATTGCTGAGAAATCGATTACAACACACAAGAGATCTACAGCAGATGGAAAACAAAGGAGGACAGACACTGGAA